GTTCCAGCAGCTTGGGAGGCTGAGTCGGGAACATTGCTTGAGTCTAGGAGTTTAAGACCAGCTTGGGCAACATAGTGAGGCCCTGTCTCCAAAAAACGAAATAAATAAAAATAAAAGGGTTACTATAGTTTCTTCCCTGTAAAGAATATTTATCATGGATATCTAAAGTAACAGGGAGGTAAGGTGTTTATTTATTTAGTTCTTCAAGCAAGTTTAATAATATCAAAAAAAAAAATCTTAAAGTTTCAAGTATCTTGAAAATTAACGTATCAGTTTTTATAATGGGGGACTTTAAAACAAAAAGTAATTAAAACAATTATTACAGAGTTCCTCAACAGAAGGGCATACTGATGCTGTCCTTGACCTTTCATGGAATAAGCTAATCAGGTAAAAAGAAATGACATTTGAACGATTGTAAAAGACCGTCACTGTGTGGTCTTACCTCATGCCTCCACCTGACTCTCTGCTTCATGTGCTGTGGGCCTTTGTGTCCATCCTGTCTTCCTTCCCTGCAGTGCACGTTGCCTGCGGGGAGGAGCTCTGCTGTCTGTGTCTTTGCCTCCCCCACCCCACCTGCCAGCGCTTCACTGTAGGTGCTCATTACACCTCGGTGACCAAGTACCCTCCTCTCTACCACCGCTAGAAAAAAACAGTGTATACTGCAGTTCAGCTGCTACAGTAGGATGTGTTTCTTCCCAGAAGACTTCTTCTTAACTCCATTTAGTTTTCACACCTCATCCACATTCTTTTTTATTTTTTCTTTAAGTTACGGCAAAATATACATAACATAGAGTTTACCACTTTAAACATTTTCAAGTATACAGTTCAGTAGTGTTCAGTACAGTCACATTGTTGTGCAGCCCTCACCGTCCTCCATCTCCAGAACTTTCCCATCTTCCCAAACCGAAAGTCTGTACCCTTTAAACACTAACTCTCCATTCCCCCCGCCCCCAGCCCCTGACAGCCACCATTCTACTTTCTGTCTCTGAATTTGACTATTCTAAGTACCTCACGTGAGTGGAATCATGCAGTATATCTTTATGGTTGGCTTATTTCACTTAGCATAACATCTTAAAATTCATCCGTGTTGTGATATGCGTCAGAGTTTCCTTCCTTTTTAAAACTGAATAATACTCCTTTTATATACCACCTTGTGTTATCCGTTCGTCCATCGGCGGACACTTGGGTTGCTTCCACCTTTTGGCTACCGGAAATAATGCTGCTGTGAACGTGGGTGTACAAACATCTCTTCAAGTCCCCCCGGGTTGTGTACTCAGAAGTGTTCTTCTTGGATCTTATAGTAATTATATTTTTTATTTATTTATTTTTTTTGAGACAGAGTCTTGCTTTGTTGCCTGGCCTAGGGTGCAGTGGCATGATCCTAGCTCACAGCAACCTCAAACTCCTGGGCTCAAGCCATCCTTCTGCCTCAGCCTTCCAAGTAGCTGGGACTACAGGCACATGCAACCACGCCTGGCTAATTTTTTCTATTTTTCAAAGAGACAGGGTCTCATTCTTGCTAAGGCTGGTCTCGAACTCCTGACCTCAAGTGATCCTCCTCCCTTGGTCTCCCAGAGTGCGAGGATTATAGGTGCGAGCCACCACACCTGCCCCTGTTTTTAAGTTTTTGAGGAACCACCATCCTATTTTCCGTAGTGGTTGCACCATTTTACATTCCCACCAGCAGTGCTCACACGAGGGTTCCAATTTCTCCATACCCTCCCAACACTTGTTATTTTCTATTTTTTTTGATAATAGCTATCCTAATAGGTGTGGAGTGGTATCTCATTGTAGTTTTAATTTGCATTTCTTAATGATTAGTGATGGTGAGCATCTTTGTGCTTATTCACCATTTTTATGTCGTCTTTGGAAGAAATGTTTATTCAGGTCCTTTACCCATTTTTTAATTGTGTTTGATGTTTAGTTGGAGTTCGCATAAATTCTGGATGCTAACCCCTTATCATATACATGATTTGCAAATATTTTCTCCCATTCTGTGGGTTGTCTCTTCACTTTCTTGGTGGTATTATTTGCAGCACAGGTTTTTCATATCAGTGATATCTTATTTCTTTTGTTATGTCGAAGAAACCATTGCCTAGAGGTCATGAACATTAACATCTATGTTTTCTTCTGATAGTTTTATAGTTTTAGCTCTTACATTTAAGTCTGTGATCCATTTTGAGTTTTTTATGTGTATGATGCAATGAAGGGGTCCATATTCATTCTTTTGCATGAGGATATTCAGTTGTCACTGAACCATTTGTTGAAAAGACTGTTCTTTTCACCATTGAACATTTAATAGTCTTGGCACCCTTGTCAAAAACCCTTGCAAATGTATAGGTTTCTTTCTGGACTCTTAATTCTGTTTCATCAATCTGTATGTCTGTCCTTATACCAGTACCACATTTTTGTGATTACTGTAGCTTTTCAGTAAGTTTTAAAATCAGGAAGTGTGAGCTTTCCAACTTTGCTGTTCTTTTTCAGTATTATTTTGGCTGTTCTGGGTCCTTTGCATTTCCATATGAATTTTAGAATCAGCTTGTCACTTTGTGCAAAAAATATCAGCTGAGATTTTGAAAGGGATTGGTTGAATCGGTATATCAGTTTATAGCTCAGTCTGTACATGTATGTTTCCATGTTATTAACAAAATTGTCTTAAAATACATGAACATGGGTGCCTTTCCATTTCCTTAGATACTCTTTCTTTTGACAGTCTTTGGTAGCTTCAATATATAGGTCTTACATTTCTTTTGTTAACTGTATTCCTAAGTATTTTATTCTTTTTGATGTTACTGTAAATGCAATCCTTTTCTTATGTTTAATGCTTTTGGTTTTTAAAAGATTACCTGATTGGATTCTTATCTTTCTCAGAAATGTGTTGGCAAGTGCATCAGCTGACAGTACTGTAATTCTGTGGGATATGTCCTTGGGGAAACCAGCAGCTAGCCTTGCCGTACACACAGACAAGGTATGGTGACTTAATGGATCAAAGGGATTCTAAAAAATCTGGGACAAATATTGGCCAAAAATAATCCCAAACATTTATATATGGCTTTTTATGTAATTTTATAGGGCTTACAAAGCACTTTGACATAGTCTGTCATTGGATTTTTCACAAAGCCTTTTGTGATAGGTATAATACCCATCTTAGAGATGCAAAAAGGGGTGCAGAAAGGTAGGACTGGGAACAGTAGTGCCTTGTAACATTTTTACAGAGCCTCCTAAAAAAGGATGGGGTGGGTCTAACGGATCCATTACTAGAGCATTCCTCAGGGGTCTAATTCACTAATGTAGATTTTGGGACTTCTGGAGCACGTGGAGTTGTCCAGATATGTTTGGCCACTTCCCTTTTTTTTCCCCAAATGTCCTTTAACATTTAAGGGACAATAAGTATTCTGCCAAACACAGTTTGGGGAATGCTGCATTGTGTCTTTACTTGGGAATATGGTTTGCCCTTTTGATTATGAAATACATTTATGTTACTTCAAATAGTTCTGAATTTCAAAGGGAAAAATTTATAGAAACACTGCCAAATTGGTTCTTGCCACATATTAGGTAATTTTACCAAGGGTAAACACCGATCTCTTCATTTGTTTCCTCCCTTTAGGTCCAGACTCTGCAGTTTCATCCATTTGAAGCACAGACTCTGATTTCTGGATCATACGATAAGTAAGAAAGCACATCAGGAATTACTGCTGCTCTGTTTTTATCCTCTGGAACTAATTTAAAAAATACCACTTAATACCCACGCAAGGCCGGGCATGATGGCTCATGACTGTAATCCCAACACTGTGGGAGGCCAACACAGAAGGGATTGGGTTGAGGCCAGGAGTTTGAGACCAGCCTGGGCAACATAGCAAGACCTCGTCTCTCAAAAAATAGAAAAATTAGCCAGCCATGGTGGGCACACACTGTAGTCTCAGCTACTCAGAAGCTGAGGTGGGAGGATCACTTGAGCCCAGGAGTTTGAGGTTACAGTGAGCTATGACAACACTACTGCACTCTAGCCTGGGCAACAGAGCAAGATTCAGTCTCAAAAAAAACAAAAACAAAGAATACCCAGACAGAATATATTACTGAAGTCATCTACATGTTTAAATTGTTAGCACTACTTATTTTTCCTTTTCAACTCTGGTCCTTTGAGTCTGTAAGGAAACATGGTTTTCTGTCATAATAATGTAACTATAGAACTAGAAGCTTCTTTGATTTTGAAGGTGTATGATTATAGCTATTGCTGTGAAACAAACCATCCCAAAATTGAGGGACTTAAGTAAGCACTGATTTCTTATACCTCTGAGGTTGAGCTAATCTAGGCTGGATTCAGCTGATAGCTCTGCTAACATGGGTGTGTTCAGGCTGGGCCAGAGACCTGTGGCTCCCCTCCTGGTGGTTCGCATCCTCCTGGTCCCGGCAGGCCAGCCCGCACCTATTCTCAGGGCAAGGTCAGAAGCGCAGCAGGGATACCAAGACCTCCTGAGACCTAGCCTCAGAACTGGTACACTTCTGTCTTGTTCTCTAGGCTAAAACTGGTCACATGGAGCAGGGGGATGGACTCTGACTTTATGGGAAGAATTCCCATGTCACGTGACACAGGGCACAGATACAGGGAGAAGTGAAGAATTGGGGCCACTGTAGTTAACCACAGGGGGTTTCCATTTATATCTGTGCTCCTTTTTTACAGATTGGGTCTGAAGGTGGGAGAGACAGCTAGTAGAAGCTGAAACCAACTTCTTATCCTTTTGAGGAATGATATATTTACATTTTTAGTTGTGATTCATACATTATAATAGTGTTTCTGTCCCTTGGTTCCCCCAACATAATAACCTGGACAGTAAGTGTGGCTATGATGTGAGTTATCTGGTTCTGAGCTTTGACCAGGGAAGCGGACATTAGAGATTGTCCTGGACTTTTGGAAATAGGATTCATCTTGTAAGTGGAAGATTTGACCTGGAAAAGGTCAAGAGCACTGTGCCATCAGAGCCACCAGTGCCATCAAGTGTTAGGACTACAATCTACCAATTAGTGAAACTCAATTCTTTTTTTTTTTTTTTTTCCTACTTTTAGAACCTTAAAACAGCCTTTAACTGAATCTTGACTTCACAGTGCTATTTTATTACCATTTCGTTGTATGTAAACTTAAAACATACAGGAGAATCGACCTCTTAAAACCCTACTCTTGTCTGAATGTGTCCAGGTCAGTGGCTTTGTACGACTGCCGAAGTCCAGATGAAAGCCATCGAATGTGGCGATTCAGTGGGCAGATTGAGAGAGTGACTTGGAATCACTTTTCACCTTGTCATTTTTTGGTAAGAGTATACATGTTACTGTTTTGCTTTTCTAGGTTACTAACAACTTATTTTTCTTTAATTCCATGGTAGAGACAATCTCTGAGAAGTTTTTCCTGTATTAGTAGTGTGAAACTTACATTTATGGTTAAAAAAAAAATAAGATTTTTTCTTAAACAGAATGGCTCAGCCACGAAAAATTAGTGAACGTGTAAATGGTCTTGCCAGTTGCCAACCATTCCAAAGTATGCCACATTTTATTTTACTTAATTGATTTTGATCATTTTTCTGCAGAGTACTTTGAAATATTAAGCATAGTTAAAATTATTTTTTATGTTTTTAATGGTTAAATCAAAGAATATATTCTTTTACATAAATCGTGGTACTTAAATGGAGCTCTAGTGATGAGAATGCCAGCCTATTTAATAGCTGTCTCCCAAATAGGGAAAAAAATGTAAGACCTTTCTGTAAATGCCCTTATTGTCTGTAGGATAATGATTTTCCATGTAGCGTCACAAAATTCCACTGACAGTTCAATACATGGAGAAATAAAATCCCAACTTTCATCCAGAAGGGAAGATATAAGAAATTCATGTTTCCCAGTTTTCATAAAGTAAATATGTAGTGCTTTGCAAAGAAGGGAAAGAGTTTCTAAAAAATAGCTTTCATAAAAGATGTGGACAGTTGTAACAAGGTTCCTGAAGTAATGATTCTGAGACACTTAGAGGCAAGGCTGTTCCCAGCCAAGCTGCCTGAAGCCAGATTCCATTTTACAGTTGTCAGGAATGAAGTTCCAGTCGTATCTGCATGTTGTACTTTGGCTCTCAGCAGTCAGGCATACAGATTTCCTGAGGTTATTTGCCAACAAATGGTCATAGAAACTAAAATCACAAATATTTAGGGAAGTGGGAGATAAAATGGTTCACCTTCTCCCTCCAGGCTCAAAGGAACAGACCCTCCTCCTTTTCTCCTCCTCCCCAGCCCAGCCTTCAAGACTCCTCGGTTATCCTTCCTTTGTCCTTTTTCCTTATACTCGTTATTGCCCTTGGCCTATATACAGGCTCAGGTCTCTCTCTCCCATCCTTGACTCTATGTCTATCTCTTAATTCCTTCATTTCCTTTCCCTTTTTTGATTGTGTAACAACCCTCTCTAATTGGCCATTCTGTCCTTATTTGATTGAATTTCTCTGCTTCCATATTGACAGTGTTGATCTTCCCCGACACTCTTCCTTATTCCCTCCCTTTCTGACCCACTTCTGTGGGCTCCTCAGCCTGCACCTGGAGTAGCTGTGCTCAACAGGCCCCTGCTCTCAACCCGCTGCTCTTTTAACTTTACACCCACAGGTGTATCCCCCATGTTCTCGTGGATGTAAGGCTCAGATCTGCTTCCACATCCCTAACCCCATTCCCTGCTCCTCACCAGAGCTTCATGCTCATATCCAGTGGCCTAATAGACATGTCAACTGAATTAGTCCATGCGGGTGCAAACTCAGCTCCTCCAAAAGTAAATTCTTTATGTCCATGTTAATTTCTAATAATTATAATAATTAGCTTCGCCAGGAAGCCAGAGACATAGCTGATTTTTACTATGACTTCTTACCCATTGCTGAAGTGTATTGTCATGTAGCATGATCTTGCCCATCTTTTACTCTTTCCAGGCCAGTACAGATGATGGCTTTGTATATAATTTGGACGCACGGTCAGATAAACCAATTTTTACACTTAATGCCCACAATGATGAAATTTCTGGTAAGCAAGAATAGTGTTTCTTTTATTTTTATTAACTTAGGATGAAGTAAATCTATATTTTAAAGTGAGAGTCTCTGAACTAATCTTATCTTCCTGTAGGTCTTGATCTAAGCAGTCAAATCAAGGGCTGTCTTGTGACTGCTTCAGCAGACAAATATGTGAAGATCTGGGACATCTTAGGAGATAGGCCAAGTCTAGTTCATTCTAGGGACATGAAAATGGTAAGAATTTCCCTGGGTGTCTTTGTTTTGTTCTGTTTCTGAGCTTGTCTTCCTCTGGGACTATGTCTTTCTCTGGGAATCATTGCATTAAAGAATATGGATGAGTTAAGGGAGTTCATTTTGAGCTTAAGTCAAATTTGGTGGGAGTTTTATGATTTGGGACAGTTTGGGGGAATTCAGTGACTCTCTGTTCTTTTCCAACTCACATGATTTAACAGTTGGTAAGACTAAGAAGGAATAGAATACTGCACAGCTCTTCAAAATTATATATGTGTATGTATATAAAAATGGAAAGGCAGGCTCCAGAATCAATTTTTATAGGACTATCCATGCTTATGTTTAAATGCTTAATGGCTTAAATGCTTATATTTAAATCTAGCAGATTATATCCCAGAAAATGAACAGTGGTTATCTTGCTGAGAGATTTTTGTATTTTTTTGTTCATATTTTCAGTAATGCATATGTATTATCTATTAATACAGTTGTAAAAAAGAAAACATTACAAGTTTTGAAAAGACTTATTAGTGACCTCTGGTATCATTGTCATTGTTTTAAGGAGAGCTAATGTTTCTGGGAATACGTAGATTAGATTTATTAAGGAATCTCTAATAGAATGATGATGAGAGACCTGAATGGTCAGAACATGCACATGTCCCCATGGAATGGCATCATGCTGAACTTGTCCGGCTTCGTAGGGTAGTACTATCCCTTGCAACTTGACCATCAGCTACATTTGCAGTGGGCTTGAAAGGGAGACACTGGTGAGTTGGTTTTGAGTTAACATTTTAAGTCATAGGTTCTTAGAGATAAGAGTAGGGTCTAGATATTAGGGCTCTCTGGAAAGATCGAAATCACTGACTTGCTGTTCTTTTCTCTCCAGGGAGTTCTCTTCTGTTCTTCATGTTGCCCTGATTTGCCATTTATTTATGCCTTTGGAGGTCAGAAAGAAGGGCTTCGGGTCTGGGATATAAGCACAGTCTCATCAGGTAAGAATCTTTAGTATCTGTTCTTTTTGAATGACTTCTGTAAGGACTAACACAGAACGTGTGTGACTTGAATACATTAGGTAGAGAGCAACGGTAGTATGGTCTGCGTAGAAATAGATAAGATCAAATGTAATTTGGGGCCGGGCGCGGTGGCTCACGCCTGTAACCCTAGCACTCTGGGAGGCCGAGGCAGGCAGATTGTTTGAGCTCAGGAGTTCGAAACCAGCCTGAGCAAGAGCGAGATCCCGTCTCTACTAAAAATAGAAAGAAATTAATCGGACAACTAAAAATATATAGAAAAAAATTAGCCGGGCATGGTGGCGCATGCCTGTAGTTCCAGCTACTCGGGAGGCTGAGGCAGAAGGATCGCTTGAGCCCAGGAGTTTGAGGTTACTGTGATTCGGATCATACCACTGCACTCCAGCCTGGGTAAAAAAGCAAAACCCGTCTCCAAAAAAAAAAAATGTAATTTGGAAATGTTCGTGTTCACAAATACGTGTCTTCACACTTAAATTGTAGATCATTTAAAAATATATTTCCATATTCAGAGAATTATGCAATTAAAACTTTTAAATTGAAAGATCTTCTGAGAAAGCTGGAAGAAAATGTAGCATGGTCTCAAAGAATGGCCTTTCTTACTAATGTGAAAAAAGCTGTCCTTTTCTCAACTACTTTCAGTACAGTCCGGCTTTCTTGAGGGTGCCGTTCCCCTCCCTTCAGGGGATCCTGGCTGTTTATTACTTTCAGGTAATCCAGTGTGTTCTATAAACACAGATAATATATGCCCACTGTATGATTCCTGATTGGGTTATTCTTGGGGGTGGAGTATGCGTGTATATGTACTAAATCCAAAAAGTTCTATGCTGGTCATGATACAGAGAGAGAAACAATCAGAAGTAGAATGAGGGAAAGGATAGAGTCACTGTTATAAAGGATGGGACATCTGTTATTAAGGCAGATTAGGTAAGTCTTAAAGTACAAAAAAAATTGGACCATTAAAAATGATTTACTTCCTTCCGAACATGAACTTTGACTTTTGTTTTACTTTCCCATTTATAAAGTACTACTTAAATATATTTTCATAAGCAAAATTTCTGCCCCAGACTAGAGAACCCCATTGCTCATTTCTGCATTTTAGTCTGTTTATAGTATAGACTCTTAATTTCCTGATCTGATCATTTCTTAACTGTTTGTGTTTTAGTAAATGAAGCATTTGGAAGACGAGAGAGGCTTGTTATCAGCAATGCAAGAAATTCATCTATTAGTGGCCCTTTTGGAAGCAGGAGCTCAGATACACCAATGGAGTCTTAATGAAGATCATATATGTTGCATTTCTTAAAAAGAATAAAAAAGATTTTAAAAAGTAATTCCTTAAACATGCCATCTGTCACAGGTAATCTAGGTTTGTAAAATAGGTAGTAATTTAGAGTTTTAAAAAGGGAAAATCCCGTAGTCTTAAAAGGTGAGTAAACCTGGGCCTGGAAAGGTGGTGGTTTGGCACAGGAGGCCACGAACAGAGGCAGGTGCCCTAGAAACTCCACTTTCCTAACTGTTCTCAAATCAATGCTCATGATTTAGTATTCTCAGTGCTACTCTTAGAATTTGGTAAGTAAATTAAAAATGACATGCAGCGTCATCAAGGAGTAGAGTGAGACCATTCATTCATTTATTCTCAAAATAGTGCCTAGCGCTGTTGACAGCATGGGGAGATTCAGTGTCAGTAAGAAAATCTTTCTACCTAACAAAGGATGATTCCACTTAGTCTTCCTATTATGTATGAATTTTAGCAGGTATTAATAGTTTGAGACCCAACCCTAACTTGGTAGAAGAGTTATCAGTTCATGAGCCATTATTATTTCCTGTATAATTCATGAATGTGACTTCATTTTAGTGTTAATACTACAGAATGTCATTGGTATAGCAGTTTGAATTCACCCAAACCTCTCTTTCTCCAAGACAGATGTGTGAATTAAAGGGATTAAAAAATGGAGTAACTATTTTGGTTCTTTTTGTTTTGATTTGGCTTTTATATATCAAAACAAGATCCAAATCACTAAAAATTATTTAATAACAGCTAGAGGGAGACCTCACAGGTTTAAACTCAATAGTTAATTTTCTCTCAAATGTTTTCTCCTATAAAGAATATCTCTAAAAAATGTATCTTTCCAGGACTTTCAGTTCTCAGAAGACTGAAATATAAAAAGTAAAGAATTTCCACTGTTACAGTCATATGCATCTGCCTAAAATAATAATTCATATTTAATACATACCAAAAATTTTAAATGGTAAATGGGGTTGACACTTCTATTTCCAACTTGAAAGTACTACGTCTGATGAATGCTAAGGAGGGAGTGTTTTGAGGGCCAAGAGAACGTGCCTGGAACCAGAAGAATGCTGGCCTGGGCTTGGAGTTGCTGCTGAAAGCCAGTGCAGGCAGCAGGTGAGACATCTGAGTAGACAGACAGCAGGAGTGGTCAAGCCCTGGGGATTGAGTAACATGGAGATTCAAATGCAAACCAGGATTATAGATTTTAATTGGCAGCTTGATTTTCATACAGACTGAGGAAAGAGTTCCCATCACTTCCTACCATGGGAATGTGTTGCGCCTAAGTGTGGACAGACCTGAGCCCAAAGATTTGTAGTCTAAGAGAATGCTTATCTGGCATGGAAAGTGGAGGAACAAGATATATTTCTTTCGTCACTGATAGTTTGTTGGCAACTGGTGTTTTAGTAGCACATGGAGAGGCGATGGAGCCAATCATATTTGTCAAAGTGACAAACCAATATTAACTTAAAAATTCTACCCAGATGTAGGTAGGCTCTAGCTAATTATATCCTGGACTTCAAATTCACTGAGACCAACTGTCTCATAAAGTAGAAATATCAAGTTATTTGGGTAGTGGAACATTATACAGGTATAACCATAAGGCCTCAATTTTTCAGGACAACTCCAACTACATGTTAAAAAGCTATTTTCAATAAAAATGAAGTATTAAATATATATTCTTTGGGGGGGGGGCTCTTTTCAAGATAAGACAGAAAAATACTGTCAGGGCAAATATCCAGAATTTGAGTTCAAAAATAACTTGTTCTATACTTCTATTTCCAGCTGTGACAGAATAACTTACACTGTTCTGCCACTGAAAACAAAAGCTGAACAGAATGCATGCAATATCTATTTGAAGTCACTGGAGTATTGCTAAGGCAACCAGGACTTGAGGGGCAGGCAAAGGTCCTGGGAGAAGGGACACACAGAGAAGGGACCCTTTACACTATGCTGGGTTTCTTAGGCATTTACCAATTTTTATGTTGTACAAGTTTAAAAAAAGCCAAAAGGTGTAGCAGAGCATTTGACAGTCTCGCAATACTGGAAAAACAAACACTGAACTTAAGAACCTCAAAGAGGAAGGTCTCTAAAAACACTCCAGCCTTTCTCATTGTGACCCCTCAAAGACTATACCTTAAAAATTGAGGTAAACCAGAGGCAGAGCCAGCTTTATAATATCTGAAACCCAGACTTCGGTAAGCTCAGTTTTTGAATGAATTGTGGTGTACCCACTCTAGTTTGCCAGAGGATAGGGTAAATGTCTCTGGAAGAGTATAATTTCATCCATAGCTTCTACAGTTTTTCATACATAATCTGGCAGTCCAGTAAGAATTACTAACCATACTAAGAAACGGACCAAAAGAGAAACAACTCCTCTGAGGAATTCACACATTGGACTTATATGGGACATGAAATTTGAAATAGCCAGGATTGAGAAATCCAGGGGGAAAAAGTTTGAATATATCAAAGAACTGGAGTGTATAACAAATCAAATGGGAATTCTATAACTTACAGAGAATTTTATATGTAGGATTAACAGCTGAAGAAGGATTAGTGAATTTGAGATTAGATCAATAGAAAATACCACACTTGGGCCGGGCGCGGTGGCTCACGCCTGTAATCCTAGC